TTATTATATCTAAATATGAAAAATAATAGAACGTATAATCATGACCCATGTTTGCTTACTTTTTTTAAGTGCGGTACTTTATTATATTGCAGGTTCCAGGAGAAAGATAAACTCATCTGACGGTCCTATTCTTTACAGAGGACGCCTTCTATTCTGCAGCTGTCCAAGTCCAGGTGGAGGACCTGTCGGTGGATGTTGGCGACGTCATCCATGGCTTCAGCCTCATAATCTATTGAACTTTGGATATTCAATATGCAACGGGGATCAAGTCCGCCTTGGCTCTCTTTGAACGTACGATCGGGCTGAAAGAAACACCACTGGAAAAGGTTGCCCTGAAGCTTCTTGGCAGGCTACAAGCTTTTAGTAATTATTTTTAAGCGTTTGACCTGTATCAAGTTTTTGATTTTACAATAAAAACGTGGTTGACAATATTGTTGGCTGACATGACTGGCAGGACTTTTTTTCAAATGTCTGGATTGTGTGTTTCTAGAAGTTTTCAGTTAAATTTCGATGCCGGCACGTTGCCCGTGGGTATTATTCTCTTATCCCTGAAACCTCCTCGAAGTGCCTCCTTAATGAACTTGACACGCAAAGAATTCTGAACTCTCTCGTATGACAGCTGGCCTTAGGAATCATCGCCCCTCCAGCACACCTGAACAAACCAGTTAGCTGAGTTTCGGGGTCTGAAAAAGTGCCTTCACTATTTGGAGCTCCGCAAGACCCATGGTGTACAAAAGCGACCCCAAAAGTGGGGAGTCGCGGATACCTCGAAGGTTGTGTATAGTGTCTGACAACACTTGCAATTAGGGGGATCACGCGAATCTCTAGGTATAAAAACGGGCACCACAAAGCACCCAATTTAGGGGCGATCAAGTGATTCCCTGAAAGTTGTAAGCGGTACTAAATAATGCCTGGATTTACGGGTGTCACATGAGTACCTGGGTGTCACAAAAGGCGCCAAAAAGCACCCTATTTAGAAGGGATTCGTTGACTTCCTGAGAGTTGAAAATGGTTTCATATAATTCCTCTAATTAGCAGTGTAATATAAGTACCCGAATGTAACAGAGGGCGCCTAACAGCACCCGAAGTAAGGGGTGTCGGTTGAGGCCCGTGGACTTTGAGAGGGGTGTTAAGTGATCCCGTATATCTGGGGAGTACTTGAATTCCCCAACTTGAGAGGATACCACAAACACCCCAGGGGAGTCACATATGGGACACGGTCTAACTCCCCTGAGGGGAGTACCCGTATACACTCTTTTTTCTTAGAGTGAACGTTGTCGGAGCTGGTATTTTTTCAAATGATTCAAGGATACGTCTAATTATCTTTGTGTATTAATAATTGTTTTTATCCGTTTTACTTCCTCTTTTAGTGTCTAATTTTTACTCTGTGCCCCCCCCCCCCCCCCCTACTATAATGCCTCTTTACACTCTAAGAAAAAATGGAGGAAAAAAGTAGCAACGGCGCGCCTTCCTCCCTTCTACCGACGCGCCCCCAAGCGGACACGAGAAAGGGGGAGGAACGAAATGTTTTTCTCCTTCTCCAGGCAGACGGGAGAAAGCTTTCGCCCTCCCGACTCATCTTCTTTCGGTTTCGTTTTTCGAGCAGGTCGCGCGCGTTGTTTAATAAATAGCTGTTGAGTTGATTGAGCTCCAGCAGCAGCGAAGGCCGCCTGTAATTCCATCTTCTAGTTTAAACGTCCAGAACATTTCAGTTGCATTGACGTTTTTATCACTAATTTTATCAAACGAGCAAACGAAGCCGCTAGAAACAGCGAAGTTCGGAGCAGTGCCAGCAGCGCCACGTACACTGGGGGATGGCCGTCTCCGGATTGCGTGACTCGCGCGGCACGGAACGACTGAACTACAGCTGCTACAGCCACTGCAGGCTGCAGCACTACAGACTACAGTAGCGAAAGCACGCGGAACTATGTCGACGTTTTCGACGTTATGGAAACTGCAGGAACTGCGTCCAAGACAGGCAGGCTTTGCTGCCCGCTGCCTGGGTGCCTTCCCCCCTGAGTTCGGTTCTGTTTTCCGATGCCGAGTGCAACCGGCGTTCAACGTGGTTTTGTGTTTGTGTGTGTCAGCAACATAGCTGCAACATCGTGATGACAGTGTTGGGTTGTGAACAGAAGACTGGAATTATCGCCGATGTGACCATGTGTTCGCGTATCAGTGGTGTAACAAGAAGATGAGATCGTAAACTGTTGGGCATTGATGCCGCTGGTCGGGTTGTGATCGGAGGGGCGGGGTGTCGCAGGTTGACATTCCGCTTTACATTAAAAAGTTTAATATCACTTGAGGGATTACGTGCAATCGATCAACGTGCGGATAGTCATGTTGGAACGCTGGTCTGAACAGTAGAAGCTCCTATCGTACAGTGGCCAATGTGACTGTCGGAATTGTCTCGTCCCCGACAGCGATTGCGCTCAGGGGCAAGGACTGAACAGTACGAAACCGTGACGTAAAGTGCGTATATTTACAGTATGGAATTTCGGCATTAAAAACAATAGGAGGTAAAATCGAAAAAAAGCTACCCTTTATTTTGCTGTTTAATTGTAGTACGATTGCTGGAGAAACTGCCCTCCGTGCCGCGCTGGGATGAGCGCTAGAAGTTTTCGGGCTCGCCACGGCGTAGTTCCGTACACTTAACACCTGCCGCAAGTCGCGGCTTTGACTGCATTCAAGTTGATCGAAAAGCAATTTCTCAGTCCGTGAAGCATCACTTCCAGCTGACTGAATATCCGCTCTACAGAGATTAATTCAAACGGCAATTGCAGCTTCGCACGAACAGCACAAATAGAAAAACAAATAGAAATACAAGCTACGACTTGCCGTGTGGGGAAACAAACTCATGGCTTCGAACCGCATTGGAGCGGCTTGATTTATTGGCTTTCAAATAATTACGGCATGATTGAGCGTTTACTTTTTAATAAGAGATTCAACCCCTGAGCCATTCAAAATACTCTCAGAGGTATGACATTGCAGGGAAAAAATCAACATGCTGGGAATATTTTTAATTGCTTAGGGAGTCACCGAAAAGTTCCGCACGTTCAAAACGACCAGTATAAAAGACGGAAACGCAGAGCACGGGTGTAGTGTTCGGGTTAGTGTGGTGTTCCGTTGTATTGATTGTGCAGTGCATGTACTTAATGTATGTTCACCTGATGCTTGCAATAAGTGTATGGGTGTCATGTGTGTATTGTAGAGGGTCCTCAAGCACAGTAGTGGCCTGAGAGAAGTAAATTATTTTTTGTAGAACATGAATTGGGCGGTACCTAGCGCCACCTAGCCTAGCCACTTGCAATTACTCTGCTTGACCCCGCCATCTGGTGGCTAGCGATTTAACCTTCTATCACGCTACGCGATAAACAGCGGCTTCAAGTTCGTTCTTTCGAGAGCGGCTTTTGGTTTCGCGGAGTGAGTTTTCCCTTCTCCGTGATGTGCGGTTGACGAAGGAATTATGACTCGAGGAACACCAAAGGTAAGACGCAAAGTGCGCGAAGTAACTCGGTATCGGTTGTCTCCGTTTAACATCGCAGTGCTGTCGACGAGAAGACTGAGGAACTGCTTTCGAAACGCAGGTTTCTGTACCTGTGGGGGGAGTCTGGCTTCGGAAATAAACACAGTTTGCGGAAAGCTCGTGTTACGCTTTCATTTGCTGCTGCTCTCGTCCCGTACAAGAGACGTAGCGTCCTCGTTAAGCCTTATTGGGCTCGATTTGCTCGATTCGGGGCCGCCATATTGAGATGCAAGCGACGGTGGAACTTTGCTCCCCTGCTTCAGGGACGAAGGTTTCTCCCTTTCTAAAGGAACATAGGTTACAAGACCGTTCCTCCCGTAAGGGAGGACTATCCGTACCCTTTTTTCTAAGAGTGTAGGCGGTGTAGGTATTCGAATAAACCATAAACAAATAAATAAACGACCTTTTACAATACCGCCTTTGCACACGTTTCTTTTTTTTCTTCTCTTGCTGCTGTTTGGTGGCGCACTAACGTTAGGGACGTAGCTATATAATAAATAAAATGTTTAAAATGCGCTGGGCAGACACACTGATAAATCTGAAGCGTCTGCTCTCTCGCGAAGAAGAGCCAATCGCTATAATCTACGGAGGGCGCTCGGCGAATGACGGGGATAAGGCAGAGTCTATACCGTTACTACCTTGAGCATGCTATAGGCAGGTATTTGGCAGCGCCACCAAGGACAGCGTAGACGTTACGTCGCAAAGTGAAACGCTACCCATGTCGAACCTTTCTGATGGGCTAGCACTATTTTAGCCATGTATGCGCCTTCCCGCGGCCGTGTTTGTCGACCTCATTTCGGAGTAAAAGATTGGGAACCTTGACAATCGAAAACCTATTCATATCCAGTGTTGCTCCGTATGTGTTTTCACGTAATTTGACTCGCGGGAGTTGTTCGCAGATTGAGTTCAATCGCGCCCCCCGGAGCTGGAAGCGGTAACGACTGCAAAATGTTTATTTTTGTTTATCTGCGCTGGAATATGCCTCAACGAAGCGCTTGCGTATTCAACGGTCCGAAAATCACTACGAGACAACATTCAGTAGTACCAGTGATTGATAAAATCTACATGGAAAATATATTTTGTTTCCTTGTATCAGACTGTTCTTCCCCCGGTGGCAGATCAAGTATACGTATAGGGCTGTGCTAAGGTAAGCTGACATTGAATAGAAACTAAAGTAGGCTGCTACACGAGATATCGACGTGAAATGCTTCTGTTAGCAGCTGCACCGTGGCATCACTGTCTTGTCGCAGGCTTCCAATTTGCTCAGAAGCTACTAGATTAGACGCACTTTTAAAAAGGGTGTATTATTTTTATACAGGGGGCGAGAGATATAGGCGGGCATAAGAAACGAAACTATGCTACTTTTGGATCAGCCCAAAAAGAAAGCGATATGTAGGTACGTTACGACAAGGATTGCGACGTGAGAGTGAATGCCGGTACTGGCAATGCATTTTTTCAGCCTCTGTTTAATACTCACCTATTTCATCCACTTCTGTAGCAGGGACAGTTAGGCACATAAAGTATTGGCCATTCTTGCGTGCGGTCCTTGTCATGTTGAACTCTCCCATATGCACGTTCACGGGGAACTGAGGCGTTGAATGGACTAACCACATCCCCGATGTTGCGTCAGCCATCAGTATGCCTGCATCAAAAACCAACGTTCAGCAATAATTCTCACCATTGTCTGTTAGAATGAAACAATTCTTTTAGTAATGAATAATGACTGCTGGTTGATTTAACTAACTGTAAGCGATCGATAAAGGAGAAGGTCCTTTTGGACCTTTCTATGCGGCTACGTGATCCTTGATTTCGGTGAAATTTAGAACTGAAAAGAGTCAGATAAAGAAAGAGAGAGGGAGAGGTAGAGATAGAGAGAGAGAGAGAAGGAACGAGACAGAGAAGCTTTGCCATTGGTGTCTTGTGTGTGTCTCTTCTTTTTCAGTCTTGTTAGATTTTCCTCATGAGAAAAACCTCATTGCTCGTGCATAGCCTGATCTTTAGTGGTTAACAATTTATGTAAGCAGAATTCAGGCGTAGTCTGTGTAGCACTTTTTGTAATTCCCGTGAAAGATCAGTGTTCATTTGCATCTTTCTGTGACCTTTTAAAACGCACAGTGAGACATTCAAACATGGAAGTATTCTAGCGAAACCTACGCGAGCCTCGAATTTACGTCTTCCTTAGGTCAATGGCTCCTGCAGAAAACAGTACCCGTAAATCCGAATTGCGGAAAAAATTTACGATTTTGTTAAAAACGTCGTGTTCGGTTCTGTGCTATAGGGTACGAATAAAATACGAATAGCGGTGCGCGTGGCCTTCGATACACGCTACGCAACTTAGAGGCAACTAGGACTTGATTAACAGCGAAGTGAAGAGAGGGCCTGGGAAGGCTATGCACATTAAAGCCGGCTCGCACCCTCGCAACCCCTTCCCACTTTGTAGTTTCATCAGTTCCAAGTAGCCTTTAGGTGGCGCAGCATGTATCGTAGGCCGCGCGCTTGCTGCTCGCATTTAATTCGTTCTCAATAGCACACCGATGCTAAGACGTAAATGCCACATTGAAGTATGCTTTTTCAGAGATAATTAAATCACTGACTAAAAGTACTTTAACTTTGACCGCGAATGACCGCTAAATAACCCAGGAAAAGTGTTTAGTGTATGTAAAGTGTTCTTTAGGCAAGATCTTGTTTAAACATTTTCACATCACGAATTTACTATTTAATCCCTCCTCCGTGGTAAATTGCAGAGTCGTATCTACCACTAGAAATTGTTGCGACTTATTTAAGCCTGGTTTGATTTATTTAGCTCACACGGTATAAGTGCTCTAAACAAATGTCGGCTCTCCTGTATTCCCGTAACCTGCAAGGAGCCATTCACCGTGATACGTCTAACTCTCGAGATCTCGAAGTCCCGAAAATGTGTAAATAAGTAAATGAAGTAACTTAATATAAGATGTAGCTATCCTCACTGACAGAACCAGAAGGGAGGTCTCTGCCTCCAGCGCGCCCTTCCTACCTTCGCATTTTGGTGTCTTGTGGACTTTGAGCGTGCAGGCTCAACCAAGGCACGACGGAAGGCAGAATGAGTGCTGGAGACTGGATGCCTAAAAAGGACGCCCTGCGGGTCTCATCCTGCCAGGGGTTATAGCTTATAATTTCATGAGCGAAGTGGACTTATTTTCATGCTTGTCATGTCACACGCCCATGGGCGGACGCGTACTTCGATCTTTCTACGCGGGTGTAAGTGCGCGCATGGTGTTGGAAATGAAGGAAAGCGAAGGGCAAATCTAAAGACGAAGCATGTGCCTTCTCACCCTTGCTATGTGCGTACTCTTTGCCGTGGTGCCTGTCCGGATCCTTGGCAGGCTCCTCCTCTCCGGTAAACGGTTGATCGTTGTAAGTCACGTACGCTATATCCTGTGCATAATATAATGGGGCATACTCCGTTAATTCCCGAGATAGTACAAGTTTTATAAGTGCGATGTTTAATGAACGTGCATATACTTATTCGTGTTTATCTGTGGGGCACGACTCAACACTAATTTACTATGTACGTAAAATGCAGCACTAATGAATTTATTTGATGTATACTGCAAAGTATTCAGGATACCCGTACGAAAGGTAACTCTCATTTGGGTATTTTTATCCTTGGGATCAAGTGGGTGTGGGTGGCCTGGCGGCCACTAAAAAAGAGTCAAAATTAATTAATTAATAAGTTAATTACATTTAAAATATTTCGTTATATTTTTAAATGTTCATTTTCTGGGGAAATAGCGCATTTAGGGAAGAGAGGCTCGACCTCAACAAAAACCAGCAATGCTACCAAGAAAAAGACAGCCATTAGTTTTCTTTTTTTCACCCTTTTCTCACTACGTGACTTTTGCCCCCGATCAGGGTAATTAATAATACGCGTAGTCACTCCCGCTTTCATGTTTTAACAGTACATAAACTCGCCGTGCCGCGAAACTTCGACTAACAATTTTTAGTGGGCATGACGGGAGAAAAGCACCATCCCTGTACACGGTTTCAAACCGAAACTGAGCGGGCAAGGAGCGCCACCCTGATGCCGATCTCTCTTCTTTCTACCGCCTACGCAGGCAAAGCCGGTCGCAATAGGCGCTGGACAGGGTTCCCGAGCACACCACCGTCGGCTGATCACCAGCACCGCCATGGTCAAAAGAGGCAACATTGGGAAGGTTAATACCGGTGACGCCGCCGGCGCACGCTTTTTATTAGGGAGTTTTCGTAGATGGTTTTCGCCGTCCTACAACGCCCTCCGCAATCCGCTACGGTACCCGGAACTCTAGAGTCAAGGCTATCGACGCGCAGGCGCATTAGCAACTTCTTCGTTGCGGAGGGCTTAGCGGAGGGGGAAACGCGGTCTACGAAAACTCCTTATTAGGGAGTTTTCGTAGACCGCGCTGCCCCTCCGCTAAGCGTTCCGCTACGAAGAAGTTGCTACTGCGCCTGCGCGCCGATAGCCTTGACTGTGGAGTTCCCGCTATCGTAGCGGGTTGCGGAGGGCCCTGCGGGACGGCGAAAACGATCTACGAAAACTCCCTATTACCAACTCCGAGCGTTGCGTTGTCGGACTACACTAAGTGTTTTCAAGGTATATTAAACGTTAAATATACTAATATATATGCGTGCGTGGTTGTGTAGCTCGAACTTTAAGGACTTTTAGCAGGTGCCTTCCTCTATAGGTGGAGGTAACTCAAGAAGGGAACTAGCAAAAGAAAATTGGACGTCCAAATATTACAGTCAAATTTTAGTAAAACCTAACAGTCAAGGGCAGTTTTTTTTTTTTAACGTTGTTCGAGCGTTTCAAAACAGAAAAACGAAGACTTTGGTGAACTTGTCTTTACTACAAAAGCGGAACTAAAAGCCCCCCCCCCCCCCCCCCCCCCCTCACCATACACTTTTTTTTTTTTTTTTAAAGTGAGCTTTTTTTGGAGTTCGCTCTTTTTAAAGTGAACTCTTCAACATAACGACGCCTTCCCGCGCTGCTATGTTGAAGACGACTGTAGTGTCCGAGGAATGTTTTTTGTAGCAGCTGGTTCTAGTTTGGACGGTGCCGTAAGCAGTTGCTCGTCGCACGGTGATGTTCGTCCGGTTTTTTTACATCGTGTGCGCCATAGTGATACGGCGTGATTGCTCGCTTTCGGACGCGGCGCCGTGGTTCGTTATTGATCGCTCAGCGCCGACAAAAAATACGCGACCGAAAAAGGTATAAGTTTCCATCCATACGAGGGCAATGGTGTGCTCGAACCACTTCTTTCACGACGAATCGTGTTGTATTTTGTATTGTGCTTGCTTTTCTTCGCGAGTGTCTCGTTTCGTTCTCTGTACGGATTGCACTGCCGAAACTCGGCGCCAACGGTAATCCGATAATCCGCCTTTCGTTTTGCCCGCACACAAATTTCTTTCTCCATGTCATCCGTGTCACCCAGGGGCAGACACAGGAATTTCCTGAGAGGGGGGGGGGGGGGGGGGGGGGGTCAGGTGTTGGTCAGAGTACCATATGTTTAGGAACCCCCTCCCAATCTCCTCCGTTTTACGCCCTAAATTTCACACATGTAGAAATCAAGAGGGGGGTCAGGACATCCGGATCCCCCCCCCCCCCCCCCCCCCCCCCCTCTAAATCCGCCCCTGCTCTCACCTGCCTCGGAAAAGTTGAAAAAATGTACAGACCCTTTTATGGTGTCCGAAACGAAGGAATGATCCTGTGTCTGTTAAACAAGTTTTCTTTTGAGGATCCCACATTCGAAAAACCGCATCTCCACGTGGTGAATGATGTTGATTGGGGCGAAGCTCTGCTGGTGCTTGTCTGCGTAGACGCTGAGCCGCAGCATGCCGAGCCTTTCGTTCGTTTTCATTCATGTCACGCTGCGGTCAAATGCTTATATAACCACGTTCCATATACCACACATTCTCTTTCTGACATGGATGAAAACGAACGAAAGGCTCGGCATGCTGCGGCTCACCGTCTACGCAGACAAGCACCACCTTAGAGCCTCGCCCCAATCAACATCATTCATCACGTGGAGATGCGGTTTTTTTTTTGCCCCAAACGAGCACGGGAGCACGTGCTCAAGTGCTCGTGAGCACGTGAGCGCGGGAGCTCACGAGCAGGAGCACGTGCACCCGACGGCGGACGGACATACGGACATGGCTAGCCCCTAAGGAGCTTCGCCCCTAAAAGTCTTGCTTTTCTTACGGTGCAGTTGCTGTGGCGTAGTGTTGGGATCGGGAAAACAAAGTAATTTATGATGGATGTTTCACTACTTTGCCGGCTTGTAGACGCCATTGGTTCTTTTTTTTTTTCTTCCTTTTTTTACGTCGCTGAATGTTTATGCTCAATACTACCAGTGTTCATTATTCTAGACAGGTTATGGCGAGCAATACAAAATCTCAAATAACGTCCCTAATGCTGGCTGTGATCCTAGTGTTTGTTGCGTTTTATGGACAGGAATTGGCTGGACCACAAAAGTACTTTCTTCACTCGCAGGTCAAAGATAAAGAAATCCCACATCTCCTTTTTATTTAATTATATTGTAATTACGGTCGTCACATAACATATATATCTTTGCAATTTTTCCAATGGCTGTTTTGAAGCTTGAGCTGTCGATCAAATGATCTGTTAGTTTAAATCGACTCGTTGATCACAATAATTTGAGAAAATGATTTCCAGTAAAAGCCTGCCTATGTTTAATTTTTTTTAAAATTTATATGTGTATAAGGGTTTGTTTTCATACAAAAAAATCAAGTTAGGCTTTTCAATTGTTTGCCTCTTCAGAATGCCGTATCTCTTTTTGCATTAACTCTGTAAAGACTCAGTCATCCACAGTTCCTATGCCGGGAGGATTGGCTTCAGGGCAATTAATAAAATAATAAACATGGTGCTGCTGGTGAGTTTATTAAGCTTGGTAAAGTCCGCGATGTTTATAAAAGCAAATGGGCACAGGACTGCCCCTGATTTTTAAAGATGCAACAATCGGGATAGAGACCTAATAAATAAGTTAATCTCAGGGGAGAAAACCAGTACAACAATGGTGATTTCGATTGTCGTTCAAGGAAGTGGGACAAGGAAGGTTTCTAAAACGGTCAATTAAAGTTAAAAAAATGGAAATTAAAAAAAAATTAGATACATCAAAATGAGCATCTTCACCGTGTTTGGCCCAGAAGAAAAAATAAGAACACTCGAGTTCGCAGGATTGAAGCCTGGAATGAAGACCTGCCAGATGCAGAATTCGTAATTGTCCGCGACGGATGAAGATGATGTTATAGAAGAAAAGAAAAAGATAAAACTAAAAGTTTCTATCGAGACAGCGAGGCCGAACGAAAGCCCAGTCAGAACGGCGGCGCCCTCACTTGGGTTTGTGTCGCGCTTCCGCTAGATGGCGACTGAAACTTTGCCGCAAATACTGCTTTCTCGCAGCAGAAGAGCAGCCATCTTGAGCAGCTACACGTGATCACACTAAAGACGCGCTCTGTGACTGGCGAAGCGGAGAAAACGCTCACTACGGTAACGACGCTGAAACTCCGCAAACGTCCGTAAAACGTCGTTCCATCAAGATGTGTCCGCGGAGCAGATAGCAGCGAGGATTTCAAAAGACTGATTTGACTCTAGGGATTCTTCGCATCGAACCCAAAGACAATGTCACGCTCCGAGCGCATAATTCCAAATATCAAGTAAACTAGCCCATTTAGAGATCCATCTCGACTCGAATAATGTAATGCTTATTTTACACGTTTAACGGCATTTATTCATCTCTGACGGCGTTGTATTTCTCACGGCCTTGAAGGGAATTCGCAGAGCTTCACGCTTGGTAAGCCTTCGCGGTCGCGACAGTCCGATACGCGACCGTGTTTTCGGCGTTTGCTCTTCCGCGACAGCTGAACTCAGTGTTAGGAATAAAAGACCAAAAACTCTCGAAACAACACCTTCAAAGTGATACATGAACAGCCCTACGAGCAAGCAGGCTGGCGGAAAAAGTCTTCCCAGTGTTGCAAATATGTTGAGCAAGATGGCTCGACGTGTCATACTAAACGTGATTGCCCTCAGGCTAAATCACCACTCTTTGGTAGCTTAATTTCGGTTTGAACCCGTGTAAAAAAAAGTGACATTTCTCGTGCCATGACGACAATTAGAAACGTTTTAATCAAAATTCAACGAACCGCTTGACCGTTTTGAATTCAAGATTCAGCTTTCCAAATACATAATATCCTCAAACCTGAAAAAGTAAATACTGAACGAAGACATCGTATTGGCGATATCAGTTAGTTAGCGAACTGACTAACCCATATCGCCTCTTTTCTATGCTCTGTTCACCCTGCTGAGACTGCAGCCAAAGCTACAAGCGCGAGCTCGCACGCGCCCCTGGCTTTCAGACACTTCAAAGTAGCGACCTCGAGCTCTCGTGCTTGTTACATCGGCTCCATGGCCACCAACTTCGGCCCAGGGTTAGAATGACCCGACGCCGACAAGCCTCAAACACGAGCAAAATGCACGCGAGGGTATCATTGGCAGACTTACAGTCACTAATGCTCACTTCACGAGCACCTGCCAAAGGTGCCATCGCGTGCGAAGTGGGGGTGTTTGCGGCTTTTTGCTGTCGGTTGTTTCTGTTTGTCGCCCTAGTATGACTCGGGCATAACACAAGTCAATTTTGTTTTTAAAGATCTGCTCTTTCGACTCAAGTTTGGACCAATCTGTTCATCGAAAAGAGGATGAATCCGATTAAAATATCCTTTTCAAAAGTGTGCACCATCCAGTAGCCCCTACACCGGTTACCCAACTTCGGCATTATTTGGGGAACGTACTCATGAGCATGTATTGGGCCCGAGGCTTCCGTCAACGTTCGGCGTGAGTTCGGCTGAGCTCGCGTCGTGTCGGCGAAGACTCGGATCTAAGCACATGCCCCGTGACCAAAAAATGGCGACCGCCATTGTTGCTTGTACAGTTTCTGAAAAGGGTTCATCATTATGTACTTACCGGTGACTTTTTTTTGGCGAACAGTTTTGCCAACGTAAAAGCTAGAGGGTTTCTCTGGCTGTAGAGGGTTTCCGAGGACATATTCCAATAGTTGAGGTTCTTGGTATTGGCATCGAAGTACGCGAACTGCACCCCATTTGTGTTGAAGCCCCGTTTGACTTGTTTGTAGATCACACCGTTCGCCGGGAACTTGTACATGACGAACCTGTCACACGAGGGTGCAGAACGACAGACCAACGTATAAGGTCGTATTTTAATTATCTTTGTTTCGAAATTCGGGAAAATAGTCTCCGCTGCGAAGTCGCTGCACCGATAAGGAAAACATCGCAAATGTCCCAGCAATGATCGGCAATAAAATATAATAAGGTTCGGTTACCGATAAGCTCATATAAACGTGGAGCACATCCACATGTGTAAAGGCGTTATGTTGCACCATGACAACGTTAGCTCATGTAAGAAGATTTCTCGCTAAAACGATTGAAAAGAAATTCCCAGAAAAATTCAAGGGGAAGAGGAATTTCATGGTTACATCTGTCTATGACTTTACACCTACCTGTGACTTTGCACCCCCTCCAAGCCAGGAAAACGTATTCTAAGTTAAACTGACTTTAATGAAATAGATAGAGCAGGTGTTCCAATTCTTTCCGTTGAGCGCTTAAAATAACTAAATATATATATATGGGTGGTTTCATCTCAAATCGTGCAGGCAAAAAGGGTCGAAATTTTAATTTCAATGAAAAAAATATATGTTATGGCGCCGTTTCTAAAACCGCAGTCGCCACAAACCGCAGGTTCGTCGGATTTTTTGTTCTCGACTTATGAATTTTTAAAGAGGCAGCGGCGAAGAGCAGTGTTTTTCACACCCGTCGTGGATCGGATGTTTCGCTTGATCTCCCGCCATGAATTTTCAGTCCACATTATATTACCTTTTTTCAAGCACTCTGTGGATGCATTTAAAAGGCTCCAATACCATGAAACAATTTTAGGCGTTTTGATTTTTTTCTGTAAAAATGTCAAAAACGCCTCCTCGGTCAATTGTTGACGAACTTTGACAATTAATTACTGGCGATCTATTTGGGTTACAATAATATTTTTTATGTCCACGGAGAGCCCAAAACACGCTCTTTATATATATTATAGAATGACTCGACTGTATGAAATATCTTTTGCGGTACGTTTACGTTAATATTATGCAAAAACCAAAAAGTACCATTTTTGAAATTGATTTTCTCAAAAAACCCATTTTTTATTTTTTATTTTTTGTTCAAATGTAGATATGATAGTTGTCTACACAAAAATCAAGCCTAGAAAGTGTATATTTTGTTTGTATGTTTTATATTTAGGCCTCAATATCGGAAAAAGACGTCTTTGTTTTGCAAGACCTAAATCAGACATAGCGATCCATGCGTCTCTATGAATTGTGAAAGAGTTTTCTTGAATTTTCTTCTGCATTTTGTAATAAATTATAAACGGATTTTGTAGTATTGAATATTTATGTATGTTTTGATAGGAGCGGGAACCACGAGATACATATCTAACCAAATCAGCAGGCTTAGTAGACTTTCAATAAGCAAAAGGCACAGACGTTGTATTGTTTCGATTTATAAACCTTTCACAGTAAACTAGCACGACTAGCTATTAGCTGTCACATTACTAAGACAAAGAAGGTCACCACATCGTCGATATATTATATACAATTCTTTCCGAAACCAAACACTGGGGTTTGTTCACCGCACATCGCACAGGTCACCAGGGAATGTCCTTTCACTTTCGTAATACACAAAAGTGGTGACACAGAAACGGTCCGAAACACACAGAGAGTGTGTCATGGAGAGGGGTAGGAAATAAAAATAAATAAATAAGAATTAAATTGCCCAACTCCGATCTTAACGAAAATTGCGTTAAAAAAAAAAAAAGTATTTAGGTTCGAGCGGTGGCAAGGCGATAGGTCCACGCCTGGTGGAGAGTCAGACAAAGAAGTCGACGGCACGTAAAGGTAAAACAAAAAGATCAATAATTTAATAAAAACGATAAATTGAGAATTTAATAAAACTCAGCCGCACATGGCAAGAACAAAAACAAACTCCTCCGGGCATTCCCTAAACGGGACGCAACCAAATGCGTGCGAACACGCTCTCTACATCACCGCCAGGCCGCTACGCCATGACGAAATAAACCCAACAATTGAACAGTGCTAACAAACAGTTAGCAAGAAAACATTGAAAAAAAAAAAAAAAAAACGTTTAGAAAAAACCGCACCCGAGAAACAAAGTTCAGCGGGGCGAAGAAACACACACGAGTCGGTCCCACGACACTGAAGTCTGGCGGGATGACGGCGTCCAGATGATGCTCGAATCTGTTCCTCCCTCTATTACGCACATCCACGTCGGCTGTGCGGAACAGTGGCTGCGCGAAACAAAGTGAAGAATAGATTCGAGCAGCGATGCGCGAGAAGGTAACCGAGACTATGCCTCAAGCTTCATATCGGGAGAGGAGCTTTCGAGGTAGTTTCTCAAACTTTCTCTTTCCCCTTCCCTTTTTCAAAAGAACACGTCAGCCGGCGCTAACTTTTCATCTCGGGAGAAGCCCACTCTTCACAAACGGTTATAGTTGACAAAAAGGCTGACTTCGACCCAACTAGTCTCCGGGCAGAATACAAACACAAGTATATTTACCAACACGCTCGTTTTAATGTCAGTCTCCGGGCTTTGCTGTTTCCAAAAGAGATAACCCTTTATAAGGACAGAACGAGCGGGTTGGTGGGGATAATTAAACTTAAACAGTCCCTTCTCGTTTGCTTCCTCAAGTTTAATAGATAACCCTTCGGTGCTATCGGATCTCCCCGGAGAGAGAGAGAGAGCACGGCCGTTTCAAGGTAAGGATAGGGCGCTCGAAGCTAGGGCAAACAGGCGGTATCGTTTCACGCATGCACGGATGGCTGGTTTCAAATTTCCCCACAGCCCTAACGAAACCGGCCCATCTTCGTGTGTGCGTCTGCGGGATTTCTGCCCCGCGCCGCCGGTTTTAGCGCCCACGCGGCGTTGTTTTGGCTGGCAGAACAGTTGTTGACCGTCGATATTGTAAGGCCATGGTGTCCTCATTCTTTCAGCCAAAGATTCCTTTGCTTTCCCTCGTGCAATACTCTGACTGACTCCTCCTGGGTGCCTGTCACTGTTCGCCGCGTCAACGACACAATCGTACTATTTCACTCCTCGTGACACAGGGTGCGCTGCTCGCTTTACTGTCACGGGCCGTCCTATCTAACACAACGAGCGTGGAAGGTCGTGGTCATCTGCTGGCTCCGAAAGGGCGGGACGTTCATGCAGGCCAATGAGGGCCCCGAATCTATACGACGTCTGCCGACTCCTACACGTTAAAAATTTACGACACCTGCTGGTCTGTTAAGAAGTGTTGCTTTCTCTTTTCGGAACTCCTCCTGTAGCTTGCCGCCTATAATAAAATTTAAATATTCAATAAATATAACAGGGTGGAAATACTGTATTTCATTTGTATATGGGAACGTTGAAAAAAATAAAAAAACTATTTCCAAGCTTGTGAAGACGCGCAATTCGCAAGTCCATTTTAAGCCGTAAAAACACGTTTTTGTACGATATTGATGCTTAAATATAGAACATACAAACAAAATATACACTTTCTCGACTTGATTTTCGCTTAGAAAACTATCACATCTACATTTAAAAAAAAAATAAAAAAAATAAAAAATGTTTTTTTTTAGAAAATCAATTTCAAAAATGGTACTTTTTGGTTTTCACATAACATAAACGTAAAAGTGCCGCAAAGAATAATTTATGCAGCCGAGTTATTTTATAATACATATAAAGAACGTGTTTTGGGCTCTCCGTGGACATTAAAATTATCGATGTAACTCAAGTAGATCGCCAGTAATTAATTGTCAAATTTCGTCAACAATTGACCAAGGGGGCGTTTTTGACATTTTTACAGAAAAAAAGAAAAACGCCTAAAATTATTTTATGGTATTGGAGCCTTTTAAATGTGTACACAGAGTGCTTGAAAAAGATAGTATAATGTGGACTGAAAATCCACGGCGGGAGATCAAGCGAAACATCCGACCCACGACGGGTCTGAAAAACACTGCTTTTCGCCGCGGCCTCTTTAAGAATTCATAAGTCGAGAACAAAAAATCCGACGAATTTGCGGGTTGTGGCGACTCGTTTTTAGAAACGGCGCCATAACAAATATTTTTTTATCTAAATAAAAAATTCGACCTTTTTTGCCTGCACGATTTGAGATGAAACCACCCATATATATAAAATAAATTGGTGGAATAATTTCTATGGGGAGTTACGAACGTAGAAAATATTTACGTAAGAATAAAGTGGTTTGCACCTGAAATGGTGCGCAAGTGGCTCCCTCTCGGCGACTCGCGGCCACTCGTCACCTAGAAGGCGCGAGCTGCGCCAAATTTTAGGTGGAATGTTATTTATTCTTATAACCCCCGGACCCCTAAAAAACAATGAAATAAAAAAGCTTTCACTTTTAATGTAAGTTTATGTGCCAAGATGTTTTTAGAAGGAATACATCGTTGCTCGTTCCCAATTCTAAAAGCAAAACCAAGAAAATCCGCAGTTCTGCTGAAGATGTTTCAAGTCAGCTTCACCAGAGTTTTTTTAATCGTAATTCAGGGTTTTAAACAGATCAATCTCCTTTACAAACCCTTAAAAAAAAAAGGTTATCAACGTCCCGGTGGGGCCTTTAAATAAAGGATTTTTAAATCTTAGACCCTTGAAAGAAAATCGTTAAACAGAATGTGCAGGATGTTTTGAGTTTCAAGATTTCTGAGCTTGAGAGTCAAGCTAAATTTCGCTTTTTTGCGGAATGGAGCATGAAATAGGTTCCTCGCTAAATGCAGCAGGGCGCACGTTCGGCAAATTTAACGCATTACGCTTTTAATGTTACACTGTTTAGGGATTTTTAAACTTAACTTTAATCCTTCGTACTGAGGAAACTATGAATCTGTCTCATTAACATCTGAGAACATATAATAATATATAAGAACATATATACGGCTTATATGTGCCTTATATATTTTATATAATTTCTGATATGTTTATTGAACACATAATAAAGTTTTTATTTTTATTTGGTAGCCTTAACATAATTAGTGCAAAAACAACAACAACAACAACAACAACAACAAAAAACGCAATCGAAGTTTTGTACGCT